GTAGTATGCAGTTGTAGTACTGTGTAGTATACAGTAGTAGTAGTATACAGTTGTAGTACTGTGTAGTATGCAGCAGTAGTACTGTGTAGTATACAGTAGTAGTAGTATACAGCAGTAGTATACAGTAGTAGTAGTATACAGTTGTAGTACTGTGTAGTATGCAGCAGTAGTACTGTGTAGTATACAGTAGTAGTAGTATATAGCAGTAGTACTGTGTAGTATGCAGTTGTAGTACTGTGTAGTATGCAGTTGTAGTACTGTGTAGTATGCAGTTGTAGTACTGTGTAGTATACAGTAGTAGTAGTATGCAGTTGTAGTACTGTGTAGTATACAGTAGTAGTAGTATACAGTTGTAGTACTGTGTAGTATGCAGCAGTAGTACTGTGTAGTATACAGTAGTAGTAGTATACAGCAGTAGTATACAGTAGTAGTAGTATACAGTTGTAGTACTGTGTAGTATGCAGCAGTAGTACTGTGTAGTATACAGTAGTAGTAGTATACAGCAGTAGTATACAGTAGTAGTAGTATACAGTTGTAGTACTGTGTAGTATACAGTACCTCCTCGGCTCGCGGTAACTGTAGTGACCTGACTTCCGGCTGCAGCCTCAGACTCGGTGCTGTTGTTTCGTGTCGTCACGTCACGGATCTTCAGTAACTGATGATGTTTGTGATCGGCAGCAGAACTGAAGCGGCTTCAGCCTGAGCGCGCGGGACAGACTGAAGCTGAACCTTGAACCTGAGTCAGATTGCAGTTTTCTCCTGTGAGTGTGCAGCAGCAGCAGCAGCAGTCTGCAGGACCTGACATGTCTGATCTGAGACCAGGATCCACCCCAGAGAACTGATCCCCCTCCCTCCTGATACAGTCCCCAATGACCCAGAGACACAACCCGCCCTCTCTCGCCCTCAGGCTCCTCACCTTCACTGATAGCTGATCGATATCTGCGGATCGATACCGTGTGTCCGGGCTCCGGCGCGTCCGCGGTGGTCCAGGTGTCTCCCGGCGGTCCGCCTCCTCTACATGCTGAGTGAGTGTGAACCCGGAAAACAGCCGCTCGGCGCTCCGTTAACTATAAAAGGAGTGATTTCCTCAGGAGGAACTGAACGCTGAGCCAATCAATGAGCCGTGAAGGAAGCGGCTGCAACTGCAACCTCACAGTCGGCCGACGGAGGCAACCTGAGCCCGGCTGCAACCGCAGCACGGAGAGACACAGCCGAGTTATGAAGCCGAGCTGCGGAGGAGCAGTTCTGTTCAATTAGAGTCAACGTTATGGCAACAAACGTTAACACTTTGTCCTACCAGGTCATAATTATTAAATAACTAATATTATATTAAAATCATTATATAATCATATATTTTACTATTTTACTGTTCTTATAACTATCTCATAATCCTGTTTAAAAGTCAAAATATTGAGTCTATATATGACTTCAACTGTCATATTTAAGTCTAAGATCATGTTAAATTAAAATTCATAAATTCATTTTTTCATAATTATTATTATTATCATCATTCATTATTGGTTCATGTTTTTCAGTTGATTTGTGTCTCTGTAGTTGGTTTGTGTCACTTTGTAGTTGGTTTGTGTCTCTTTGTAGCTGGTTTGTGTCTCTTTGTAGATGGTTTGTGTCTCTGTGGTTGGTTTGTGTCTCTTTATAGTTGTTTTGTGTCTGTTTGTAGTTGTTTTGTGTCTCTTTGTAGTTGTTTTGTGTCTCTCTGTAGCTGGTTTGTGTCTCTTTGTAATTGGTTTGTGTCTCTTTGTAGTTGGTTTGTGTCTCTGTGGTTTCTTTGTGTCTCTTTGTGGTTGGTTTCTCTCTCTTTGTAGTTGGTTTGTGTCTCTGTGGTTTCTTTGTGTCTCTGTGGTTTCTTTGTGTCTCTTTGTAGTTGGTTTGTGTCTTATTGTGGTTGGTTTGTGTCTCTTTGTAGTTGGTTTGTGTCTCTGTGGTTTCTTTGTGTCTCTTTGTGGTTGGTTTGTGTCTCTTTGTAGTTGGTTTGTGTCTCTCTGTAGTTGGTTTGTGTCTCTGTGGTTTCTTTGTGTCTCTTTGTAGTTGGTTTGTGTCTCTTTGTAGTTGGTTTGTGTCTCTGTGGTTTCTTTGTGTCTCTGTGGTTTCTTTGTGTCTCTTTGTAGTTGGTTTGTGTCTTTTTGTGGTTGGTTTGTGTGTTTTTTTAGTTNGTTTGTGTCTCTGTGGTTTCTTTGTGTCTCTTTGTGGTTGGTTTGTGTCTCTTTGTAGTTGGTTTGTGTCTCTCTGTAGTTGGTTTGTGTCTCTGTGGTTTCTTTGTGTCTCTTTGCAGTTGGTTTGTGTCTCTGTGGTTGGTTTGTGTCTCTCTGTGGTGTGTTTGTGTCTCTCTGTAGTTGGTTTGTGTCTTATTGTGGTTGGTTTGTGTCTCTTTGTAGTTGGTTTGTGTCTCTGTGGTTTCTTTGTGTCTCTTTGTGGTTGGTTTGTGTCTGTTTGTAGTTGTTTTGTGTATCTTTGTAGTTGGTTTGTGTCTCTTTGTGGTTGGTTTGTGTCTCTTTCGTTTCTTTGTGTCTCTTTGTGGTAATCTGGTCATTTCAACAACAAATGTTATCAGTTACTTCAAACAGGGGCTCTGGCCCAGGGGCCTACTGACCCCTTGGGCCCCAGCCTCTTCCCCTTAAGGCCCTTTCATTAATCATTCATTAATCTCATAATCTGGGATTAAAAATCATATGATTAAATTTAGTATCTCGTTATCGTGACTTGAAAAGTCATGATTTTAACTTGATGTCTCATCATCACAAAAGTTTAAATTTGGAATGAATAAATCATAGTTATGATAAAGTAAATAAATATTATGAAATAGTAAATAAATATTATTATTATACCTTAAATCATATTTTTGACTTCCTTCCTCATTTATGTAATTTGACTTTCATTATCTCATAACTTTGATATAAAAATCTGAAAAAAAATTGACTCATTATCTAATAATCTTAATCTTAACAAATCATTTGATGATAAACATATTGAGCTTCTACATGTAATATGAAGCACAAAAGATAAAACTAGAGATACTGTAAATATAAGTAGTAACTTCATAATTTTCCATTTTATTTTACGGTATAAAAAATACTTTCCTTACCCTTTTTTTATGTCATTGTTTATTTACCCTCATGTTGACTGACTCACCAGTGAAATGTGTCCAAAGCAGATTGAACATCACTGAAAGCCACTGCACCAAACTCCACTGAAAAAACAGCTGTTTTTATCCAATCGGTGCTGATGTGATTTAAGGAGCTGTGCTGTGCAGGAAGGAAGGAAGGAAGGAAGGAATTAGGAGAAAGGGTACATTACGTTAGTGAAAGACGGCAGGAAAGTAAATGCCATTTTTTTTCATTAAAAATTTTCACCTGTTTTGTTAATTTAAGAAAAAGAACTACTGATAAATTCCTGTATTTTTAATATAATAATGAAAGTATAAGGTTTTAGTAGATAGTAGATAGAAGAAGAAAATAAATAATATAATATAATATAATATAATGAACTTCTGTTTCTTTTTCCGTCAAACAACTCGACGCTACTAAATCCTTCATTTCCCAAGTTGCCTTGCGCGCACACGGAAGTACGTCATCACCCGTGACCTTGGCCCTCCTCTTCACTTGGTTGTCTAACAGGCGGAGAGAGGACGAGCATGGCTAATAAAGATCCCGGGGTAAGTGAGTTTAATGCTTTTAAAGTTAATGTAGGTCACTTTTTTGCCTTCAGCTCAGGTGAATTGTTAATTTGTTTCCCGCTCTTTGAACCCCGGCTCGTGACATAGAGCATTTTTAAAATCCACGTGAGTCAGGCTGAATCTGCTCTAAGCTAGCTCACATCAGTTAACTGACGTTAGCTAAGTTACATTTAATTAGCCTGTAGGTAAAGATAAGGACAGATGCTAACGGCGGAGGGTTCGGTTAATCTAATTAATGTTGCTCAGTAGGAATATTTAAGTTAGTCTAGAAGTTACGTTCAGCTTCGTAAGCACAGATCCCAGGTTTCGTTTAAAAATCTTTCAACTTAATCTTTACCACTTGGCAGCACGTGTTTTCACCTTATATAAATAATAATTTTAAACCTTTTAGACGTTTGAAGGTTCTTATCTTCAATTCGGCGTACACACAGCACACCCAGCAGCTTAGATTGTTATGAAAACAACAGTTATGCTAATAGTTGCGTCTAGATCTACCAATGTTACTCATGCAGTTTACACGGCGGTTAACATCCGGGAACTACAAGCAAACAAATACAAAATTGTAATCTTCTATCTAACTACTACCGCTACGTGGATTTACTGTAAACCGAATTTAAGATTAAATTTCATAAAGTGAAAACATAAAATCAATTAAGTCCAACCAAGTGATTTAATTTGTTGATGTGCCAGCAAACTTTAAAACTATTCATTTTGTAATGGAGTTTGGCCTGCACACATGTGGAATGTTTTTGTGGCTAGATAACGTCCTTGCTAAATTGTTGGGAGGTGTAAACCTTCAACATGGTTACCATCCAGTGTGAAGGTCAGTCAGTGTCGTGTCTGTGTAAAACATTTCAACCACTGAGGCTCAGTTTGAAGCAGAACCATGTTGATTTAAATCCCGAAATCCAGCACTGTCTCTTATCATAATCTGTGTTTGTGTTCCAGGGTTTTCTGCAGCAGCTGCGGCAGATAGCAGGCAGGATGTCATCAGGACCTCGGGGTGCAGGACTCGGTGTCAAACTGCTGATTGGTGCCGGAGCTCTGGCTTATGGAGTGAAGGAAGCCACGTACACAGGTACTGTCGTCTGCCGTGCGGTTTTCCATGTAGACGTCTGTCACACAGATCCAGAGAAGCACTTTACTGTGACATGAAACAGAAAATAAAATGAAAACAATTCTCAGACTTGACGAGCTTCAGCTACAGAATGATCAGGGTTTAATTGATTCGCCTGACTTTCAGTTTATCACAAAAGATTACTAATTTGTTTAATATTTGAAGAGAAGTAAAATCAACCCAGACATTAAATATAAGTCTTCACATGTTAATGAACTGTGCAAAAGTTTGGACGCCCTTTGAAGTCAACAACATGTGATATACCCAGTGCGGCATGTTTTTGCATACATACAATTCTGCATACAACTACAACAAAACTGAGTAATTCATTTTCTATGGATCATCTAAACACTGACGAAATAGTTTCATGTCATTGGAGCCATAGAATCTGAACTAGCATCAGGAAGTCTGGTGATTAAAGCAGTTTGAAGCGCAGCTCTGGACCCAGCATCAGAAAGTAGTAGTTGTTAGTAAAAGGAGACAGTAACAGGTAATTTTATTAATGGGGAAATAAAAAGGTGCAATACTTTTCTGAATTTTAGCCACTTGTAGAATAAATTATATATTTTTTTGTCTGAGTTTTGACAGGAACTTTAAAAAAGTAAGAAGAAAAAGGTGCATGTGAACTTTTCATCGGGTAGTTGCTCCTTCAAAATGATTTTCTGTTACATCATCAGGAGACGTTTACAGAGGGTCCACAACAGTTTCTGTTTTCAGACCAATTATTGATATTTTTTTCCTCTTTCCCTAAAAGCACGAATGAGGGGCAGAGATGAATCCAGAGATTAGATGATAGACACTTGTTTAGTTGGTGTTTATAAATCCTCTGAAACTGTAACTTCATGAGTCGGAGGAAACTTCTGCTCTGGTGAGTTTGAATGAGTCTGAGTCGTGGCGTCAGTGCTGAGGTGAAGGACGGTCTGTCTCCTCTCTGCAGTTGAAGGAGGACAGAGAGCGATCATCTTCAACAGGATCGGAGGGATGCAGATGGACACGGTGCTCGCAGAGGGACTCCACTTCAGGTAGGAGGCCCCCCCCAATCCATACTGTTACCACGGCAACACCACCTTTCATCAGCAGTGCTAGCTTTCACACACTTGGTAATTCTGATGAATAATTGTTAATTTGTCAGTAAATTACAGTTTTATCACTGTCACACGGGAACACGTACAGGATCGGGTTTGGACCAGGATCACTGGGACCAGTCCTGGTCCTGAGCTCGTGTTCTGTCATATAAAGGAGGGAAATATGTCATGTCATGTTTTGTACCTTTGTTTGAGAGCGGGCAGGAGAAATAGAGGGCGAGCATGACTTCATATGAAAAGCTCAGGCGGCAGGAAACAAACTCTGTAAAGCTACTCATTCATGCAGCTGCAGGAAACCGAAACCTTCCTCCTCCTCCTCCTCCTCCTCCTCCTCCTCCACTGATTCTGTGTCGTTGTCTTCAGGATACCCTGGTTCCAGTATCCCATCATCTACGACATCCGAGCCCGACCCAGAAAGATCTCCTCGCTCACCGGGAGCAAAGGTGAGGCGCAGACGGACGCAGGAACCTGGAGCCGTTCACACAAAACACCTTCAGATTTTCCTTAAAGTCTAAGTTAAGGTTTCTTTAAAAACACAAAACGCCTTTGAGACCAAACTAAGGAGAAAACTAAAGACACCTCTGACTCTGTCTTCACTGTGACATGGAGAGTTAAAGAGTTAAAGCTCAGTACCTGTTCCTCTTCCTGGAGTGGCTTCACTTCTGATTACAGTTTAACTGTGTGATTCATACGGATTATTTTCCTCTTGAAATGCCTGGTTCAACAGAACAATCCCTTTTTACATGAGCTTGTTCTGCCTGTGAAGGCACCTGTGGACCAGCTGACACTAAAACATCCAGCTGTTTAATTAATGGCTCTGCTCTGATCTTTATCTGTTTAACATGTTAATGCACATGTCTGAGTTTATTGTAGTAAATACTAATAAATACTATTTACTTTGTTAATGTTCAGAATTTGAGTTAGTTTTCTAAACGTCTGGGACCAGCTGCACAAACTTATTCATGAATTTCTCCTAGTGGATAAATAAAGTATCTATCTATCTAATGGCAGCAAATCGACGGTCTCCATGGAAACAGTAGAATGTTACTGCTGTAAAATCTCTCACTGCTGCAAATGCCTGAACTTTTTCCTCTTACTAAAGAAAAACATTTCAGAGATTCTGTGCGACTCCCTCAATCAACTCCCGCTTAACATCCATTAATACAATATTAAAAATGACTGTAACCAACTAGTATTTCTCTTTTTCTACTTTTAGTATTCTAAAATATAGAAATAGACACATGAACAGGCGTGACGCCCGCTGGGGGGGTTCAGGTTGGGTGATGGGGTGTGCTTCCTCCCAGGGGCCTGGGAGTGGCCGAGGGAGGGAAACCCCCCCCACTCTGCAACAAGTCAAACTATCACTAAAGATTAAGGTTTGTCGTTTGGTTTTTTGGTGCCTCGTCACCTTGGCGTCTTTGTTCACGGACGGTAAAAACACTTGACGAGCGCGTCAGTGATCAGTCGGTTGATCGATTAGTCGATCGACTGAAAAACATGAATAACGAACATCAGGAGATGTAAATACTGTCCTTATATTTTGGATGACTTTAATGCAGAGTGAATATTCAGAATGAACCGGGCGTCTGACCTACAGCCTGACTCCTCCCTTCCTCTCTGGCTCCGCCCTCAGACCTTCAGATGGTGAACCTCACGCTGCGAGTTCTGTCCCGGCCGCTGGCGTCCAACCTGCCCGTCCTCTACCAGCAACTGGGACAGGACTACGACGAGCGCGTGCTGCCCTCCATCGTCAACGAGGTGCTGAAGAGCGTGGTGGCCAAATTCAACGCCTCACAGCTCATCACACAGAGAGCGCAGGTACACACACACACACACACACACACACACACGTAAGTCTTTACAGAAAAGAAAATGTTTGTTCTTCTTCGCTGATGTGAGATTCTAGAGAAGCTGAAACCTTTTGTCCTTTAGTTGATGGACAGATAATTAATCAGCTGTTTAGATAATGTACATAACGAACCAAAGCTCGAGCGGCTCTTCTCTACTGTGAATGTTTTCAGATTGTAAATGAAACATCTTTTGGTTTTCACTGTCTTCTGCCGTTTTATGAAGCAAACGTTCACGTCGTCAGATGAATCAGAAAAAAGATGCAGAGGAGGCAGCAGTGGGTTTCTTCAGCCCTGAGTCGTGTCTGCAGGTTTCCTCTCTTCAGTAATGAATCAAACAACATCTCTGCAAACAGTGTGATCGGTCCGTCACCTGAGAGTCAGAGGAGTCGCTCAGCTCCGTTCAGCAGAACATGTTTGTCGTTAGGAAGAATTCAACAGTTACAGGACGTTTTACTTTGAAAATTCAGCGAAGAGAGAAACATGAAAAAGAAAAATCTGATTTGGAAGAAAAAGCTCTAAAAAATCTTTCTAAGAACTTTAGCAAACCACAAATTATGAGCCATGTTTTTCTGTTTTTTGTTGTTGGGTGATTGTTACCATGGTAACACTGGTCTTGTTACCTGAGTTAGCCTGGGAATAAGGTCTCGGGGTTAGTGGGTCTTTAATAAGGTGAAACAGTCCGGCACCACAGACCAGTCTGACGTGTCTCTGTGAAGCTGGTCCCAGAAGTCACTTCCTGTTTGAGTTTTTCCTGACGTTGACTAGAGCGTCGATCACGTCCGACCCGTGACCAGCTGTGGTTAGATATGGGATTATTCACTGAGGGTGTTAGCGTGTCACTGAAAAGCTCTGCAGACCTGTGTGATCACCATAGTTACCGATGTACTGATGCCCCCCCCCCTCCAGGTGTCCATGCTGATCCGCAGGGAGCTGTTTGATCGGGCCAAAGACTTCAACATCATCCTGGACGACGTGGCCATCACCGAGCTCAGCTTCAGCCGGGAGTACACGGCCGCCGTGGAGTCCAAGCAAGTCGGTGCGTCCCCACCTAACCCTAACCCCCATCAGCTGTTAGACTCCCCCGGAGCTTTCAGCCATACGTCATGGTCTTCTTCAGGAGGACTGATCATGTACGCTCCCGGATATCACACTGTCTTCAGAGCGTCTTAACTCTGCGAGGGTTTGAGTCGGAGTCGTTCAGTTTTTTCACGTTAGACTGGAGAATCGGCGCTTTCTTCTGTCGCAGTGAGGAACTCTGGGAGTTTTACCGTTTGTCTGGAGCATCGCCGTTTTCTCTCTCTGCGTGTTTATGGATCGATTCTGTTTGTGAGTGACGTACAGAGACGCGACACTCACTTCTACATTCCTGTTTTATTCTGAGGTTAACGTTTGGAGAAGTTGTTGTGAGTTTACTGTGGAGACACAAGGACGAGAGCCAGATGTTCAGAGCTGAGGAGTTTTACCCAGAAGAACGAGCAGTTGTTACGTTGTCATGGTTTCCAGTGTGTTTTCAGGTCTGCTTATCATCCTGAATCTTCACTGAGTGACTTGTATAATTAGCTGAGGTGGAGCTGGTTCTGAATCTGCAGCTCTGAACATGACGAGGTGAAACACAAAGGTTTGGAAGGAGTTGATGTGAAAGTGAAACTGCTTTCAGCTTCTGTCTCATAGTAAAGTGAAAATCTCTGGAGTTTTGATTCGAGGTTGAACTAAAACAGGAACTTGAAGATTAAGATCATTAGTTTTGTTTGTTTTTATTATCTATCGTAAGAACAGATGAATCAGTTAAAAACAGCTGCAGCTCGACACATGACAGAAGAACCGGAGTTTGGTCACATGATGGGGGGGGGGGGCATAACATCTGTCTCTTAAAGTGAATGATAATGACACCTGTGTGTGTGTGTGTGTTCCTCTCCAGCCCAGCAGGAGGCGCAGCGAGCTCAGTTTTATGTGGAGAAGGCCAAACAGGACCAGAGACAGAAGATCATCCAGGCGGAGGGAGAAGCTCAAGCCGCCAAGATGGTGAGTGAATGATGAAGGTTTCACCTCGTCGTCCTCAGTGTGTCACCAGAGTGTGTGTTTATATATGTGTGATATGATAATGATATTATATATATTGTGGTGATTATCTGAGAGCGTGAGAGAAAAGGATGAAATAGAGAGGACTTCAGGTTGAAGTGGGGATCAGTGTCGCCTCACAGCAGGAAGGTTCTGGGTTCCAACCTGGCGACAGGTTACTTACCTGTTCAGGTGCTCCCGGCCTCCTCCCACAGCCCCCTGGTATACAGAGGCTGGACTGCTCCCAGTCTGCGGGGGTTTATATCTGTGTGTTCACCTGTGACCGTGTGAACATACCGGTTTATAATTGATCCAAGTCAGATTAATGAGTAATCAGCAGTAACTCGATCTTGCCAAATAGTGATCCTGCATCAGTGTCTGAAACCTGTTATAACATGTTGGTTTATGATTTCTAAAGTGTTAACAACAGAATTAATAATCTGATGATAAAGCATTTATAAATCCTTTATAAAGCCACTTTCCTACTGTCAAAAGAACCCGCTTAAACCAGGAACGCCGCGGCGAGACGACGCACGGGGATGAAAGAGTGAACGCTGCTTCATAATACGCTTTAAAAACACAATCACAGATCCACACAACAACAACCCGAGGATCAGTTTTACTTCTTCCCAGAGGCTGCCACCTCTGTGCCCCTCCCCCCTTAGGAGCAGACACACACACACACACACACACACACACACACACACACACACACACACACACACACACCTATAAATGCC